TTAAATAGGTAGACATGAAAAATACCCATATTAAGCGATCTTTGGCTCCCTCTGCTGAAACAGAAATGACCCTGTTTCAACTATTTTAAATAGCATAAAGTTGAAAGGTCTTTTCAGCACTGGCAGGGTTGGCGGCATCGTGCCAGGCCTGTGGGACAGAAAGATGTGTGAGGCAAAGTCGTCTTCTCAGACAGTTCGCAGCGCGGTGGGGAGACGAACGAACAGACGAGGTGTTTGTGGCAGTTTCTGCAGCAGAGATGTGAGGAGCTGCAGGGACACACAGTTGCTGGGACCCTGGAGCCCCGGCCAGCTGAGGTCAGAGTGCCCGAGGCCAGGACCCCGAGTGGCCGGAGGATGGGGAGGAGGTGGGAGTGAAGGACACCTGCGGGCGCGGCCCAGGCGCACTAGGCGGCTGCTGCCATTTGTCGTTCAGAAGAGGCTGCCGGTGTTTATCCCAATTCCCAGACACACATGCACACACAGCAGTGCGCACACACTCACAGGCACACATACATATGTGTACACAGGACACACATGTGCACACACATACCAGCACATACATGCTCGCATATACACATACCTATGCACACACAGCAGCACACACACATGCACACATACATATGTGCATACAGCAGCATGCACACACTCACAGGCACACACACATATGTGCACACAGCACACAGACGCACACATAAATATGTGCACACAGCAGCACACACTCACAGGCATACACACATATGTGCACACAGCACACACACATGCTCACATGCACACACACCAGCACATATATGCTCATATGCACATATACATATGCACACACAGCAGTACACACACGCACGCATACATATGTGCACACAGCAGCGCACACACACATGCACACATACATATGCACACAGCAGCACACATGCACACGTGCACACATACATATGTGTACACAGCAGCACACACACATGCACACATACATATGCACACAGCAGCACACGTGCACACATACATATGTGTACACAGTAGCACACACACATGCACACATACATATGCACACAGCAGGCACAAACAGGCATCTGTAAGGAGCGAATTGCTTGAGTCATTTAGACACTGCAGGCGGAGACACTCTGGAATCCATCTGGACACATTGGGCAGCCTGGGGGACCGTGCGGCCGTCCTCCTGTGGCGCGTCCAGTGTCCGCCACGGAGCTCTTTAATTGCACGTGCAATTAAAACTTACTTCAGTAAAAGCAATAACATATTTTTTTTACCAACCCCAGGGCGTGGGTTTGTTGGAGTAGTTAGCTTTAGTTATAATGAATATGTTCGCGCTCGTTGGTGGAGAGCGGACGTCTACTCCTATGTCACGAAATACTTTCGAACTTACACGGTACAATTATGAAAATTATGGAAGTTGGTTCTTTTGTGTTTTCCTTAAATTGCTGAGGATAAAGAAGTAGGTCTTCGGCGTAGTCAGCTCCCAGGCATTTGGCTGATGGAAAGGGAAATTGGCACAACAGCCAGACAGACGCCGTTAATCTGTATGGAAGTGCATTTGAGCATCGGGCGGTCGAACCGCAGCTGTGGATTCCATGCTGGACAGCGATGCTGGGGCCACCTGGGGACCCGGGACGTGCCTACCTGGCCGGCGTGTGGCGCCGTCCCGGAGTGGCTCTCCCACGGAGCTTCCCCCCGGAAGCTCTCCCTTCTTGACCTGAACATCGCGGATCCCTGTCGACCGCAGTCGGTCCGGAGGTTGGTTTGGCGTTGCTCGGTAGATCAGGGGTTTTGCGGTTATGCGGAGATCATTCATAAGGATGTATTTTAATTCGTGGAATAGCAACGCACAGGTCTCAAAAAGCGTGCGTGTCTCGTGGGGCTTGGGGCGAGAAGATCAGCCAGGTAAAGGACGTCCGCCGGGCGGAGGGCGGAGCCGCTCCTGCACACATCTTGGTGGTGCCGACGGGAGGACGGCGCGTTGCCCCGCCGGAAGACTTCTAGAAGACGGAGAGACACGGGCAGAGTTTGGGGGTCTGTCTGTCCCCCACGCTGTCTGTGCTGGCTTTCGCGCTGGCTGCCAGGGAGTACTGGCGCCGTGGGGGCAGGAGCTGGCTCAAGCTGGGGACAGGGATGCAAAGCGTCTCTTCCCAATCATGCTCCCACTCAAACAGCCTCAGGGGCCGGGCGCGTGGCTCCAATGCTGCAATCCTGACTCGTGGAGGCCGAGGCGGAGATCGCTCAAGGTAGGAGTTTGAGACCAGCCGGAGCAAGGGAAACTCCTCTACTTAAAATAGAAAGACGATGTAATGGACAAGCTAAAAACGTATATAAAGAAATGAGCCAGGATGTGGGCACAGCCTGTAGTCCCAGCACTCGGGAGGCTGATGAGCAGGAGGTCGCTTGAGCGACAGAGTTGGGTGCTGTGAGCGACTGACGCCACGGGCACTCACTCTAGCCCGGGCAACGAATGAGACTGTCTCAAAAAAAAAAAAATGAGACTCTGCCTCAAAAAAAAAAAAAAGAAGAACAGAAGGCGAGGTGGCTGCACTCTAGTTGTCACATCCTCTCACTTAAGCAAGTGACATGCGCTCAGTATCAGCCTTCATGAATCTGACAATACCATGTTTCTAGGCTCAGAGTGGTTTACCTGCCACTAGAGAAAAACAACTGCCATTTAGGGTGGGAAGATGAGATTTGTTGATTGTGGTCAGACAGGATTTCATGAGCAGAAAGATGAAAGTGATGTACAGGAGGAGAGAGAGAAGTGGCTCAGACAGCGGTCGGGATTGGGCCGGGCAGCGGGTTGCCCTTATGTGGCATGGTGTTGAGCCAGTGGTTTCGCTGAGTTAGGCAACTCCTGATGGTACAAGGTATAGTCACCCACCTTGTTACACACGGACCTGGGCACAATGACCATGTGGGGCGGAGAAACCTTTCAGGCAAATTGCAAGGGGGAAAGCTTGGGCTAAAATTCAATTTAAACTGCGAGGAATTACTGTGTTAGTTGTATGAGCAGTATGATTTGAGTGATTGGCGTAGAAGCTGTGCTGGTTGTACTGGAACATATATGTATGAAATTCACAGCTGAATGACATGACCTGACCATGGGAACTCTGTTCTGTTGAAGTGTTTACCTCTTCCAAGATTAAATAGTTAGACCATGAAAAAATACCTATTACGCGCTCTTTGGTTCCCCTCTGCTGAAACAGAAATGATCTGTTTAATATTTTAAATAGCTAAAAGTTGAAAGGTCTTTTAGCACTCGGCAGGTTGGGCGGCATCGTGCCGGGCCTGTGGGACAGAAAGATGTGTGAGGCAAAGCGTCGTGGTCTCAGACATTCGGCAGCCCGGTGGGGAGAGAGGCCGAACGACGAGGTGTTTGTGCAGGTTTGCTGCAGCAGAGATGTGAGGAGCTGCAGGGACACACAGTTGCTGGGACCCTGGAGCCCCGGCCAGCTGAGGTCAGAGTGCCCGAGGCCAGGACCCCACGTGGCCGGAGGATGGGGAGGAGGTGGGAGTGAAGGACACCCGCGGGCGCGGCCCAGGCGCACTAGGCGGCTGCTGCCGTTTGTCGTTCAGAAGAGGCTGCCGGTGTTTATCCCAATTCCCAGACACATGCACACACAGCAGTGCGCACACACTCACAGGCACACATACATATGTGTACACTGCGCACACACATACCAGCACATATATGCTCACATACACACACACCTATGCACACACAGCAGCACACACATGCACACATACATGTGCATACAGCAGCATGCACACACAGGCACACATATATGTGCACACAGCACACACACACATAAATATGTGCACACAGCAGCACACACTCACAGGCATACACACATATGTGCACATAGCACACACACATGCTCACATGCACACACACCAGCACATATATGCTCATATGCACATATACATATGCACACACAGCAGTACACACATACATATGCGCACACAGCAGCACACATACACATGCACACATACATATGCACACAGCAGCACACACACACATGCACACATACATATGCACACAGCAGCACACGTGCACACGTGCACACATACATATGTGTACACAGTAGCACACACACCCATGCACAAATACATATGCACACAGCAGCACACATGCATACAGACATGAACGCACACGTGCACGCGCATAGGGCAGAGGGCTTCCCGAAGGGGTGTGGGGGGCCCTGCAGGTGTGAGCTCAGAGGCTGGACTCCGCTCCGGAAGCCAGCAGCCCACAGCATGTAACTGAGTCACTCTAGGTCTGAGTCAGACTTCAAGTTGACATATTCGTCGAGACAGTTTTTGTTGCAACTGGCAAATCCGATGCAAATAACGAAAGCTGGGGAGTTGAGAAGCTGCAGAGACAGAGAACTTACAATGTCAGACACAGCCCAACTCAGGCGCCCAGACGAACGTCGGGATCCGTAGCTCCGTCTCTGCAGCCCCAGGTCCCTGCACACGGGCTGTGCCTCTCTGTGCGGCAGCCACGTCCTCAGCGAGGGACGACGTCAGCACAGCTGGGGCTCCGGGGCGGGGCATGGGGAGCTCCCCACCGTTTTTATTTCGGTCTCCATTCCATGTGGCAAACACACAAGCAGCCATTTCTGCTTGCTGGGCGTGTTCTAAGCACTTTTTACATGCTAACTTTAGTAGTCCTCATTACAACCATGACAAGCCGTACTAGTAATGCCTCCCTTTTATAGATAAGGAAACTGAGGCACAGAGAGACTCAGTGGCTTGCCCGAGGTCGCACAGCTCATAAGAAGCAAGCCAAGCCAGACGCGCACCCCGGCGGGCCGGCTTCAGAGCGTGGCCCGTACGGCCGCGCGGGAAGGATGTGCACGGAGACTGTGCGCCTCTCACGGCCCCGGCAACGGCGCCTAGGAAACGAGAGACTGGTCTGCAAAATGTATAAGGAAAAGATGCATCATCATCATTTTGCTGATAAAACACTTCGTCCTAATAAAGGGGTTTGTTGTGTTTCCCCCCCCCAGGATGCTGAAACTAGCAGAGGAGAATCTGAAAAAAGGAGAAACCTCAGCGAACTTTCCCAAGCGGCCTCGGAAGACAGTGACGTGTTCGGTAGGTGACACACACGTGACGAGTGTGCTCTCTCCTCTGGAGAGGCGTTTAGCTTTATGATTGGGGGGGTGGTCGGCACGTCTGCTCTGGTCACCAACAACGCAGACCACGTAGAAACGTGGCGGGTACGGCCCCCTCCTCACCCTCCTGCCATCCCTCCTCCCACGTGACCCCCAGGCAGCTGTTCCCGCCTGGTTTTCGTTTTTGCTGTTGATTTGCATGCCTTCTTGTACACACAATCCCCCGACATTTCCCAGGCTTTTCCCTAAGAGGTGGTACTTCTCTCATCGTCCGTCTGTCCATTTGTGTGTGGGCATTAGAAAGTGCTCATAAAATAGTGCTCATAAAAAATAACCAATGAGGAAGTGGACCTGCACTGGTGACACAGAAGGCATTGGGAAATGACTGCTGTCCGCAAAATTCTACTTTTTTGTGTTGCCTTCCTGAATATAAGCCGCTTTTGCACATTGCTATGGTTTGAATGCATCCCCCAAACTCCACGTGTTGGAACCTGGATCCCAAATCCATACGCTGGCTGGAGGTGGGGCCTCCGGGAGGTAATTAGGATTGGATCGGATCCTCGGGTCGGCAGGGCCTCGCATGCCGGGGCCGGCATCTTTGGGGGGCCTGCAAGGCCTGTCGAACCCGAGATGCTGCTCGGCCGCACTGGGAAAATGCTTTCGGCCTTGGTCCGAAATTTCCCCTCGGAACTCACGCAGCTTTCAAAACCTCCTTGCATTTGTTTAAACTCTATTTCCAAGAAACTTCCATGCAGAAATCATCTTTTACAGATGCTACTTTCAAGTAATAGATGCATTTAATGGATCCTGGCTAGTAACCTAAGCTATGAAACTATTACCGTGTTTCCCCAAAAATAAGACAGGGTTTTTTCTTTTTTTCTTTATTCTTCCTCAAGAAGACACCCTAGGGCTTATTTTCAGGGGATGTGTTATCTTTTTTTTAGTATGGTACAACAATCTGCACTTATTCAAGTAGAGTTAAGTCGTCTTCTTCTGGAACATCATCATCACTCTCCAAATCCTGAATCCCATCCTGAATGTCTTGCAACTCTATTTCCTTTAGAACCATTGGCCCCGATCTCTCATGTCAAGCACTAGAGCTCTCATGGGGCAGATGAGAAGGGCTGCTCGTCTTCTTTCCCGCTCCTCGATGACATGCACGGGTTGTGCAGACGCGCGGCGTAGCCACGCCCGTCACTAGGCCTTATTTTCGGGGCAGGGCTTCTATTGTGCACATGCTTAGCAATCCTGCTAGGGCTTATTTTATGGGTAGGTCTTAATTCCGAGGAAACACGGTAATAGTTAAGGGGCAGTCATTTCTGATGTCAAGTTCTATTGCGGCCCTGCGGGCCCAGGAGCTAAGGGGGTGTCCGGCACTTTCCGAGGGGCGGCTGTCATCTGCGTCCCCTCAGATGCAGCCATTGTCCTTAGCAATCACTGCCGCACCGCCCCTTCTGTGATGCCAGCTTCAGCGTGTTGCTAATTATGATGCTGCTGCTCCCTGCGGCCTTTTGTTCATATCCAGACAGAGCACTCGTCAGTCAGTTTCCTGTCAGAATGTCTTTGGAGTGGATATAACTCATAGAAATAAAGTCACAGGTTGAGACCTGGAAGAAATATTAGAAGCCGCCCCGTCTGCCCCCTCGTTTGACGCCGAGCACGTGCCGGCTGGGACAGTCAGATGGACGCCCAAAGGCTCGAGGGCCCCGGCCACAGGGGCAGGACTGGCGCCCGGAGCTCAGCCCCGAGGACCCTGGGGGACAGGGCCGTTCTCAGACTGTGCTTGACAGATGTGTTAAAACAGTCAGGCACTGTCACATGTATTACTCCTCTGTGTGTTTGAGTCTGTGGTCCCCAGCCCCCCGGCCGCAGCCAGTACCGGTCCTCGGCCTGTTAGGACCGGGCCATGCGTCCCTGCCCGAGCTCCGCCTCCTCCGCCAGCCCCTCCGTGGAAACCCTGCAGGAGCTGAGCGGTGGGTGGTGAGCCAGCGAGGCTTCACCTGCATTCACGGCCGCTCCCGTCACTCCCATCCCTGCCCGAGCTCCGCCTCCTCCGCCAGCCCCTCCGTGGAAACCCTGCAGGAGCTGAGCGGTGGGTGGTGAGCCAGCGAGGCTTCACCTGCATTCACGGCCGCACCCGTCACTCCCATCACCGCCCGAGCTCCGCCTCCCGTCAGAGCGGTGGTGGCATTCGAGCAGGGGTCCTCAAACGTTTTAAACAGGGGCCAGTTCACTGTCCCTCAGACCGTTGGAGAGTGCGCACTGTGGGCCCGGGGCCAGTCGGCTGCCAAGCAGGACAGGCAGCTGTGGCAAAGACACCTGGCGGGCCGGATAAATGTCCTAGGCGGGCAGCATGTGACCCGAGGGCCCTAGTTTGAGGACACCTGCGTTAGATTCTCATAGGAGCACGAACCCACTGCAACCTGCAGGTGTGAGGGATCCAGGTTGCGGCTCCTTATGGGGCTCTAACGCCTGGTGGTCCGAGGTGGAGCTGGGTGGTGACGCCAGCGCTGGGGAGCGGCCGCAAACACAGATGATCATTAGCAGAGAGGCTTGGCCGCACAATAAATGTCATGTGCTCAAATCATCCAGAAACCAACTCCTACCCCAGTCCGTGGAAAAACTGTCTTCCATGAAACCGGCCCCTAGGTGCCAAAAAGGTGGGGGACTGCCTCCTTAACTGAACTCTCAGGACGCTGTGTGCCATGGAGAACCCAGGTACACCTTCGGGGAGCTGCAGGCTTGGCCGCAGTGCCCAGGGCGGCCTCCAGGGGGCGCGCTCCCCCCCACGGCGGCGCGGGTTCGTCCTGGGCCAGAGCTCCTTCTCAGGCCAGCCCTGAGGCTCACGGCGGCGGTCACTCTTCTTGGTCCTACCAGGCGGCCTCTGCCGTGGGCCTTTGGACAAACCTCTGCCGCTTTGGGGAGGCCGTGCCGCCTCCTCATGGTCAGAGTGTGGACGCGGGCCTCTGGGCGAGGCTGGAGTCCGGGACACCCGTGCACGGTCCAGCACGGCCACGGGCCAGGGAGGCGGCCGGACGTGGCCAGCGCCTGTCCTGCCTCCAGTTCAGAGCAGGGCCCGGCGCCCGCCCGCCCTGCGAGACCAGCAGACGCTGCGCGGGGGCAGGACGGCTGCCTCGGTGGGTCCCAGAGCTTTGTAGCCGAGGGCCTGGGCGCTTGGGTCACTCGTAACGGGAACCCCCATGCGGGGGCCTCGCTGAAGTCCAGGCTGTTGGGGACCCACGCCAGTGCCACCTGCCCTGGACACGCTGGTGGAGGAGGGGCTCGCTTGGGAGACCGGCCCACGCCCACTCCGCCTCCCGAAGCTCCCGGCCTGACCCCTGAACTCCACTAACCCGGTTCCGATCCCCTTGACTTCCTCAGCCCGAGGCTCCGCCTGACAAGCATTGGCGGCCTCGGCGCGCCCCAGCGCGACTGTGACCCTGGGCCCTTTGGAACTGCCGGGGAGGGATGTTAAAAACAGAGAGAAGAGACTTTCTGGCACCTGCGAAGATGAGTCCCACGTAAAGCGTGGTCTGGCCGCGACGGGAGGCAGGTCAGGGTGTGAAGTCCGAGAACAGCTGTGACAAGAGGAGGGGTCAGGCTGGCTGCACGCCCGGGGACAGCGAGATCGGCAACGTCACCGATGCCGACATGTTCGTGCCCACATGAAAGAAAAGGGGACGTGTGGTGACCGGCCTGCCACACGGGGGTCCCGGCGAGCCAGTCTCCTCGAGGAGGGACTTTGTCTTAGAGTCGTGTGATTCTAAATGAGACCACGGGCCTCGAGGAAAGAGGATCTCTGGGCGGCTTCCGTGGCTCTGCCGTGGACCAGTGGAGCCCCAGCTCCCCAGCTGCTGTTCCCGGCCTCCGCTGGCTCACCCGTTTGCTTTCCTGTCCCGCCTCCCAGCGGGGTGTGGAAATGCCGGCCTCTGCCTCCCCGGCCAGTCTCCCCAAGACTGCCGGGCTCTGCCTCCCCGGCCAGTCTCCCCAAGACTGCCGGGCTCTGCCTCCCCGGCCAGTCTCCCCAAGGCGGCCGGGCTCTGCCTCCCCGGCGGGAGGGTGGACAGGTGAACACTGTCCGGCCTCACACAGACACAGACCCTTGAGCTCCCCCCGCCCCCGCCGCACAGTCCCCTCCCCCGCACTCCCTCTGAGGGCTCGCATGGCTGCTGGGGGTCAGTGTCTTGCCCCCCTAGGACAGCGAGTGTCCTGCCCCTCCCACCTCCCAGGGGGCAGAACTCTGCCTTCCCTCCCGGCCCTGCTGGATGCGCGGAGAGCAGCCTTAGGTGGGGACCGGGGCAAGCCCAGAGTCACGCTCGGGGGCCTCGTGGAGAGGAGGCTGCACTCACTGTAGATCCACTTCCACCGTGAATTCTGACGATTCTTAATTCATTTAAGCTGTTATTATCAGCGTTTAAGCTGTGCTGTTCTCTTGTATTTTTCCCCTTTGATTGTACGGTATTTAGCTGTATCACTGTCCAAAGAATTTTTTGTGGGTCTTGAATCCCATCTGTCATGTTTTTTTTTGTTTTTTGTTTTTTTTTTTGAGACAGAGTCTCACTCTGTTGCCAGGCTACAGTGCCATGGCGTCAGCCTCGCTCACAGAAACCTCCAACTCCTGGGCTCAAGCAACGATCCTCCTGCCTCAGCCTCCCGAGTAGCTGGAACTACAGGCATGCGCCACCATGCCTGGCTAATTTTTTCTGTATATTTTTTTAGTTGGCCAATTAATTTCTTTCTATTTTCAGTAGAGACGGGGGTCTTGCTGTTGCTCAGGCTGGTCTGGAGCTCCTGATCTTGAACAATCCACCCGCCTTGGCCTCCCAGAGTGCTAGGATTACAGGCATGAGCCACCGTGCCCAGCCCTATCTGTCATATTTCAGTAGAAAAATATCTGAGTGTATAAACATGCACCTTACAAATGAACTTTTATAATGCAAATGACTAATATGTTATTAGAAATATATTCACACAAGAGTT